TATATATATATGCTTTCTTATCTATTATCTGATCATGTCTGGTAGGTTAGTATTAAGAAATCAATAGTTGCAACTTTAAGACATGCTAAGAGTTCAACATGAGAAATTTTTCAAAGACAAAGAAACAAAGAAAATTATTTCACATGTACTGTATATGGAGAATTATATCTTAATACAGTTTAATTTTCCTTTATCTTGCAGTTAATCCTGGAGGATGGGCACCAGCCTCAGTGTTAAGGGCAGTGGCAAAGCGAGAGTATCCTAAATTTCTAAAACGTTTTACTTCTTATGTGCAAGAAAAAACTGCAGGAAAGCCTATTTTATTCTAGTATTAACAGGTACTGGAAGATACATAAACTTAATTTAACTACTATGATCCTACAGACATAAATTCAGTTGTTGAAAGTAGTTGCTGTTCTTTGATGTTCCCAGATAAAAAGGTTGTAGTTTATTTCCTTTAAAACTTGCTTCGTTATTTTTTCCAACTGATAATATTTAAAGAAATTTTACTATTACAGAACTATAGAATTTCAAAAGTAGAAATTCTCTCTGTTATTTCCCAAAAACCACTGTTGTTCTTGGAGTATGTTCTTCTAGACCTTTCTGTGCATATACTGACATATTTTTGAGTGTTTAAAAAAAATGTGCTAGTTCCATACTTACTATTTTGCAGGTTTCTTTTTTCACTTAGCAATAATCTTGACTGTCTTCCACTATAAAGAATAAAATGCTGTCATTCTTTTAACTTCTGTTACATGAATGTTGTGAATTTATTGACCAATCCCATAATGCTTGAGTTGCTTTAATATATTTACTGTCCAAGTGATACACTGAGCATCTTTATGCAAAGAGCTAATTTTTTAATTTTTTAAGAAGTGATACATTAACATGCTTCAGAAGTTTAAAATGCCTCCCCTCATTGACCTATTTTGTCCACCAATGTTTTATATTGGTATATTATATCCATATTACTTCTTGTGCTTTTATTAGTTTCTTATGTATCTTCTTGGAGGTTTTTTAAATGTCTGAACAAGCAAATACAAGTGTATACCCCTTTTTGTGTTGTTAAAAGAAAGGCCAGGAATGATGGCACAAGCCAATAAAACCAGCTGCTCAGGAAGCTGAGGCAGGAGGCTCTCAAGTTTGAGGCCAGCCTGGCAACCTAGCAAGAACTTTCTCATGAAGTTTTTGTTTTGTTTTGTTTTTCGGGTTTTTGTTTGTTTTTTGGTACCGGGGATTGAACTTGGGTCCTTGCACTTGCGAGGCAGGTGGCGGAACCACTGAACTAAATTCCTGGCCCTTGAAGGTTTTTCATATTGGTAAGGAGCTTTTATCCCATTATATGGTTGTATATAATCTAACCAGGTCTGCATTTGATAGATTATTATTCTGTCTTTTCTCCTCCCTCCCTTTCCTTCTCCCTCTCCGTCTTGAACTCAGGGTGTTCACACTGAGCTAAACCCAGCCCCTTTTTAATAATTTAAGGGTCTTACTAATTTGTTCAGACTGACTTTGAACTGCATTCCTCCCACCTCGAAGTGCTGGGCTCACTATGAGCTGCCGCATCTGACTGTTTGCAGTTTTTACTAAAACAACATTACAGTTTTATCCATATGTCGTTTTGCATTTAAAAGCTTATGTGTAGAGCTGAGGCAGAATGATCACTGTGAGTTCAAGGCCATCATGGGCTAGATAGTTAAAAGCTAGCCTTCATGACAAAGCAAGGCCCTGTCTCAAAAAAATAGTTTATGTATAGAACAAATTACTACATGTACTGCTGGCCGTGCTAAGGGTTTGTGTATTTGTAATTTCGATATTGTCCTCCATTGAGGCTTCTTAATTTACCAGTTCCCTAGCAGTAAGGTAGAATAGAGTGTCTATTTCCATGTGCTTTTTTACTCTATGAAACAAACCTCAGGTTTTTCCCAACATTATAGGTGAAAAATTCTCCCTCCTGCCCCATCCCTGTCTCACAGTGTACCTTTGTGTTTCTCTAATTTTGCATGTTTTGGTCCATTAAGTCTGATTTCTAATGCTGTTCATAGTGTAACTTTCTTTAAAAAAAAAAAAAAAAAAAGCCTCAAAGGCAAAATTTGTTCTCAGATACTAACACAGTGTTATTTCATTGATGACTTGGATATATAGCTTGTCCTAGAAAAAAGGTTAGCAGAAAAATGTTGAACAGATTCTCATCTTACTCTGGGGTGTACTAGAGAGCCTGATCTTTTAGGGATTCTATCTCTGCACGCTTTAAGTGTCCTCCATAAATACTTTGACTATTTTTAAATACTTTGTGCTTTGAAATTGTTATAGCTACAAATGGACACGTTAACTTACTGATTCTCTGTGCCATATTTATTAAATCAGAAAACTGATTGTTCTCAGATACTAACACAGTGTTATTTCATTGATGACTTGGATATATAGCTTGTCCTAGAAAAAAGGTTAGCAGAAAAATGTTGAACAGATTCTCATCTTACTCTGGTTTGTACTAGAGAGCCTGATCTTTTAGGGATTCTATCTCTGCACGCTTTAAGTGTCCTCCATAAATACTTTGACTATTTTTAAATACTTTGTGCTTTGAAATTGTTATAGCTACAAATGGACACGTTAACTTACTGATTCTCTGTGCCATATTTATTAAATCAGAAAACTGGTGGCTCACGACTGTAACAGACTTGTCATTATACTAGCTATATGTCACTTGCTGTAGCCTTACAGTTTCTCAGATGTTTCTGCTTCACCTTAACCGAGATCAAGTATATGCTCTCCCTCTTCTTCAGCTCTTTGCTGAAAGGGCCTCCTTCTTGATGTTTTATCTTACTGTTTTTATCAGAACAACTTAGATGTTCAGGCTAAGCAAGGCAATAAGTAGAACCTCATACTAAGCAAGAGAAATCAGAATGTAGCTGTATATTGAATATGCTCTCGGCTATCTTTAAGAATATCTTAAACATTTGAAATAAACATATTAGGATATTAGCAGCATTTGTCTCCAAATGTTGGATTTTGAATACTATGTTGACTATGTATGTATGTGTATGTGAATACACGCATGTTCACATTTTTCTTCAGTAGTCCTAGAAAGAAGATTAAATCCTTTTAAAAAAAAAAAAATTCATCTCCGTGGAAGAAGATAGCATTGTTTGTTGTTAGGTAGATGTGTAATACAAAGGTGAAACTGAAGATTCATTGGCCAAAAACTCAGCACTTGCTCTTTGAGTATACATGTGATACCTCAGGTGTCAAACTCAATCCTTTCAAAATTGATGTTTGAACGCTGAGAAGTTCAAGAACTGTTCGTATTTTTCCCATAAGAAATAATGGAAAACCAACTAATTGGTTCTGAGGCCCCAAAAATTACACTTATAAATTCATTTTCCTAGGACTTCAACAAATTTCACAATGTTTTCTTTCTTTAACTCTGCTATGGTTCTCCCAGTTTGCCTCTTAGCTTTACTGCTGGTATCACTAACTTTCTTTGGAGCTGTGGTTGATATTTTATACACAAAAAAAGCATAGTAGCGAATATTTGAACACACTGACACAAGCGCCGTATGTTGCCTGGGTGGGAGTGGAGCTAAAACTGAAGGGTCATCCCTTTGTGTCCACTGCAAGACCCAACAAGTGATTCACTCTATGCTGTACAGTTTTTTTCAAGTCAGGGTTTTGGTCCAACTATCATGCAAACTTGCAAAGAGCAAACCGATTTTTTTTTAAATTGCCATTCAAGTAGTGGAAAGTCTGAGCCTGTAGTCATTTGACAACTGAGGCATCACTGTAGATCGAATTTCTTTCTTACAGAGATCCAAATTCAAACCTTAACATGTAAAAAAATTTTGGCAACCAAAAGTGGCATTTTTTTTCTCACAGTAATTATGGAAGGTAACATTTTTTTCCAAGAGTAGAAAAATATTATTGAGAGAAAGATTGTTTCTAAGACAGAAGGGGGATTGGAAAATGGGTTGCCCTGGAAGATACATTTTTGATGTTGGTTGTAGCATTGAAACCCTAGGGAAATTAACACTTAATTTTGATGCAGGAAATACACTAATTTTAAATCTTTAGAGAAGTTCTGTAAAGAGGTAATGAGGCCTAAACATGTTTTAAACACGTCACAACTTAGACAAGGGATTTGAGCTTGTTTATTTCTTGTGTAAGACAAACCTCTCACCCACAGTTGCATAAATTTCTTAAATTCTTGATTAATGGTATTACATAGTACTTCTTCATTGAAGGCTAAAAAGAAAATGCTAGTTTATGGGATAAAAAGCCAGAGATTTCTGGTTGTAAATTGTTCTTTTAATTTTTTTCTAATTTTCAAAATATTTCTTTATAACTTCGCTTCCTTTTTTAGGGGATAAGTATATAAGTATAATAAATATAATAATAAGTCTATAAGGTTAATAATGTTACATTTATAAAGATGAAAAATCCTTAAAAATTTTAGCAGACCTTCAGTGCATTTCTCAAACTTGGAGGGTGGGAGGACACTGTTGTAGTCCTGCAGCTGTTAGTAAATATTAAGCTGAGGTTTTTACTTGTTCTTTTCTTTTCTGCAGTGACTGAAGTAAGGCTGTGTGACATTCCATGTTGAAGAAAAAAAAAGTTGAATGCTCTGAGCTGGAACATAGGATCTACAGCCTTGTTTGTGGCCCAACACCTTGAGCTTGTGTACAAAACTGAAGAAATACTGCAATAGTAAAGCTGAGCATCTAACACTAGCTGTCCTCCTGATAGATCTCCTTGCTCAGCATGTGCTATAGATACATGTGCAATTACATGTGCGTGGCTATATTTTTATTTGCTTACTCCTAGAGGAAAAAAAATCAACTGTCAATCACAACTAGGAATTGATGCTTTAATTTTGGAGAACTTTTTCAGAATTTTTCATTTACTATGGTCCAGTATAAGATCCTCAGTTTTATCAGGTTTTGTGCACAAAAGTGGAATGCACATGGGCATGTGCTTTCTGTGTACCGGATACTCAGATGGGGTTCTTTCTTCAGGCCTACAGTCAAATCTGTGTCCAAAATTTTTTTTGAATTTTTTGCTTTGTATAATCATAGAATTCATTGCTGCTGATTTCTATAATGATTGGTGGTGTTATGTAAGTGTCTTACATAACTGAGGGCTGTCAGTAACCTGTGATTTTGCCTTTTCTATTCTTGCTCATATGAAGAACCTTGGTTCTGATGGAGAAAGAGTGAAAAGCTTTATCCATCCCCCCATACCTTTATAATTCTGTTGTATTTTTTAGTTATGTACTGTGTGCTACAGATTTTTTCAGTTTGTCACAAACACAGTTTAGTAATCCTTAAATTGGCTCTGCCTGCCTTCAGACAGAAACATCTATACAAATCTTGTGGGTATTGAATGCTTTCTGGTAAAACGATCAGGATAAGATGAGCTTATGTTTTTCTGAAATTTGTAGCAGAATATACAGTATACTTGTTAAGGCAAATAGGCCTGTTTGAATTTGACATTTGATTCAATATATGTATATGTATATATATGTATATATATATATATGTGTATATAT